TAGTTAGTTGACTCGACATATAATTTTGACGTCAAGTCAAGTTCCAGCTGTACATTTCGTATGCCTCTTACTTCAGGGCCTTATCTCGAAAATTTAGCAGCTCTGCCTGCACTTAGTCATTCATCGTCTTAAAACTTGACATAAAAAACCAATTCATTGGTTGTCCGTGAATTTGAGATGAAGCCGTGAAACAAAGGGTGTGAGGCCGAGGCTGCCATCTCCTAATTGATCTGACGTCAAAGTGCTTTGTCAAGTCAGTTAGCTAGGAATACTAACTTCCGCTCGCTACCGACCTGAACTACCAAGACGGATCCTGTGGTGCTCAAAATGCTTTTTGTTTAGAACTGGTTGGATGGCGTAATTGGCAACTGGTATCGGATCCTGTGCCGCTGGCAGAAGAAGAGGAAGAAGTCGAACCAATCTCACCGGTCTCATCATCACCGGATTCAATGAAAGCACTAAATGCGGTCAAAGTAACCTAAATGACACAACAGCGGTTGTTCATAAATGTTCTAGCCGTAATGTGGTTGTATGTACAATATGTCCCATATATCATTGTGTTTCTTTCAATACAGAACATTTGTGATTCTTTTATCCAGGTAATAATTTATGACTTGACTCTGGCTGGTAGTTCTGTTCGTTGTTTTATACCAGATTCATTTTGAGTCGTCGTGCATTTTGCGGACAACGTGGTGTCTTTGAGCAGTTAGCTGCTTTTTCATCGAAATGTATGTACATGTACACCTCACTCGTTTTATTGTTTAATAAGGAAAGGTCTTATAAAGGTTATCCTTTCTTTTTTGGTTTCATCTAGCACAAATGTTATAATCTGGGAGGCTATTTCATGAAGACATCATTTTTGCAGGTTGAAGATGAGCTGTCAGACAAAATAGATCTCAAAATGGGGTTTTTTTTGATTTATGGGATAGATTATTAATTAGAAGGCAGTAGAGGTCTTTTTTTCGGCTGCGTTATAGACTATGTTAGTTCTAGCTTGTGGTTCATGGACTTCGCCGATTGCAGCGAATCGCGCGACTGTGACTAGGCCACCGGTTCCCGCCGCTCTGCAATCGCTGGGATCACTGCCAGTTCAAATCCTCATGAATACGTTGCTCATTAATTTAGTTCGCAGCTACGAAAAAAAACTCACTACGCGGCCGGTTGGAGCAGCAGGCAGTACGCAGTCGAGCGAATCATGTAACGCGGCCTTGGGAGAGTTCTGTACACGGTCCAGAATGTCCTTGCCCTGAGTATGAAGGATGTGGAAGGTAGTTAATACTACACAATTCATATCTATTGAGATATCAGGTGCATAAGACATCCCTCAGCTAGAGGGTTCTCTTTCGCCACAAATTTTGGGCGCTATTTAGTCGTTGTTCGGCAGTGCGTTGGAGAGGTTAGAAGAGGTATGAAGAGCAGAAAATTGATTGGAAGAAACAAGGGAGAATCTTCACGGTTGACGAGTGTTCTGAGACCAGCGAGATGACATAAAGGATTATTCGGTAGGTAACAGCCGGCTCACAGAAGTATTTGAGCGTAAAGTAAAATGCAGCACGGTATAATGCTACAGACTCACACCTTATTTGACGCACCTTACCTAAAAAGAGTCTTAGTGGATTTGTTACAACGCTGAACGTCTTCGTGCGTTGCTGAATGGGACATTAGCGAAAAATTTGGAAGTCCCGTCGAAATCAAGGAGAAGAAGTGAACAAATGATGGAATTGCAGTGACTAAGTGACTTCTCCCTAGCAACTGTAGCGAAATGGACCTTGTCCAAGAACTTTTGCATAAGTTTTACTCAGGTGTACGGTAGATGTCTATAAATCGGCGGCTAAAATGGCTAGTCTATCGGAGATGCTTGCTTCTGTTGATTCCTTGTATTTCACTAATGTGGATGTGTGGACTATTCGATCATCTGCTGGAAACAAGTTTCGATGAGTTCCAGTGGCCACCATATGGTGTTAATATTTTGGTTGAGGTAGTTTTTAGTTTTACCCCTTCCCTCTTTCAAATTCATTTGTGCTCTTGTGATTCGAAATAGTGGATTCAGACTCGCCGAGCACTTCGTGGTAAGCCTGATAGAGTTTCAAGGGAAAACAATGTTAAATCATTCCGCCAGATCGCACTTCCCAAGTGCCATACGCCTAACAAATCACTGGAATTGCTCGTAATGGTAAAGTCGTCTACAGCCAATGTAAAGGTAGGAACCACCCTTCCTACATTTTTAAATACATCAGTAAGGGCGATCAAATAGTTGAGAGAGGACAATTGGAGCGACTCACTGTACCCAGTCTTGTCGTATGAAACTCTCTAAAGTTCAATTTTGGGGAAGGATGAGTTGCTGTTTCTGTGGGAGGACGCAAACCAGTGGTCTTATCGGCACTCTCCCATTCGACTATGCCTGCTCTGTAAAGCCGCGCGGTAATTCTGTTCATCTGTACTCTGGTCAAATACGCTCTGGTAAGCCTAAGCTTCGATGAGGTAAGGGGCCCCCCACCCCTCCGTCCGAGCTGAAATTAGCGTAACAGTTCCAATGAAAA